TGGCAAAGATCTGTCCAGCATGGAAGTTGTAGAAGAATGCCCAAGAAATCTTGTAAAGCTCCCTCATCTCACGACAAGAGCCCAAATTGCTCAGCATCAAATGGGGTGTGTGTGCAAGGTCTGGAGCCTGCAGAGAAGGCTTTGGAGTTTTATTAGACATTAAGATTGTTCTTTAAGAAACAGAAACAAAGCGAGCCTCTTGCAGCCCCTCCCTCTGGGGAATCTGGTGCTAAGTCGTTCCATCCATGAGCAAAGATGCTGTAGTGGTAGGAATTTGATTCCCCTTTCCCCCTATTCCAGCTCTGTTCCCAGGGGTAACATGGGAGGAGAGGGGAGGGGAGGGGAGGAAGTCAGGCTAGTGACTGGAAGACAACTCTGGTGGAACAGAGTTGCTGGATGGTGAGAGCAGCTACTGATAACAGGGATCCCTTTCTGCCTGTCTTGGCGCCAGACTTGCCCATCAGCCTGTCCTTTGCCCTGGCACCAAGCTGTCATTCACTGTCTTTATCTGCAGAGAGTTGAAAAGTCCAAAAGGAAAAGCAGGACAGGCCAGAAACCTGTCTGAAGTCAAGATTTGAACCCAAGACCCAGGTCTCTTGCCTTCTGCTTGCTCTTGGACATAGACAACTCCTTTTTGATATTTAATATGTAGAGTGAGACCTGGAGAAAGGCCCTGTTACCCTTTGTTAGGAAAGGCCCTGCGTCTGGGGAATTAAAGCCCTGCAGGTGTAAGGCTTAGCAAATGGAGTTTGGACCAGATTTCAGCTCCACTGGCCCCCTTGGCCAGGAGCCTTATGCAAGCTGCAACCTGTCCGCCTATTCTGGATGTTGGTCTCAGGCTGCCCTCCTCATGTGGTGTATCCTCAGGGCTCCATGAGGGGCTGTAACCCCAAGATGAACTTTGCTGAAGGTTAGCCACTGAGACTGTGACCTCACACCCCAGGAGCAGTCAAGGGCACACTGTCCCCGTCCCCCATCTCCCCCAGCCTTCCTTCCTGCTAGCTTTGATCCTCCTAATGCCTCCCGGGTGAGCTCATCCCAGCCCAGGTGGTTCCAATAGAAGGTATTAAGAGGGAGGCGTTTGATCCCCTGGAAGATACCCCCCCTCTCCTGCCAGGCTGACCCTCTGATCTTCTTCCACCTAGGTGTCAAGGTGCCAAGATACCAAGGAGACATGTTCCACAGGCTTGTACACCCATAGCGGAGAATGCTGCAAGGCCTGCAACTTGGGTGAAGGTGTGGCCCAGCCTTGTGGAGCCAACCAAACCGTGTGTGAACCCTGCCTGGACAGTGAGTATAGGATGGCAAATGGGGGAAGGTGTGGCATGAGCAGAACAGACCTTGCAGGTGTTCTGTCTCCTGGCAGGTCCCCTGCCAACCTCTGTATGGTCACCAGAAGTGAGCAGGATATGAATAAAGGGGCAGAGATAAATGGGGGAGTGTGCAGGCAGAGGAGAGGGACCTGGTGGGGGATCTCCAGGGGGGTCCTTCTCCCCAGTCCCCAAGCACAGAGGCTGATAGAAGAGTGTGGCCAGGCAAGGAGAAGAAGCTGATGCTCACTCAGACCAGCTAAAAATACCTTCTGCATTGCAAGATCAATGGCTGCAGCCTACCCTCTGTGGGTTTGGGGGGAGGGGAAGGAGGATCGGATCCTGGCTGCACTGGAAACTGACCTTGGGGGATCCTGGGAGGGTGTGGCTGCCTTCCTCCAGGCCACTGTTCTTGTAGCTTTCTAATGCTAGGAGGGACAGGGGCTGGAGCACAAGCATGTCCTTACTATGGGATGGTACCAGGTAGGAACAGCAGAGGGTAGCTACCTGGCATTACCTTCAGAAGGAAAGAGTCCCATCTTCTGGGAACGGTAGAGAAGGGGGACAGGAGGGTGACAGGTTTGTTCTCATCCTGTGTGAGTTCTGTGTCCTGTGGGACCAGGAGTCTTGGTCTCTGTGCTTCCGGCTCTAAGGCAGAGCTGCTTCCCTGTCTGCTGCCAGTAGGATCCTATATCTGCCTGGCACTTGGTCCCCACTAGGAGGACTGCAGGGAACAGAATACAGAGCTGGGGACTCTGAGACTACCTGCCAGCCTAGTCTTACCTCTCTGTATGCTCCCTCCTGAGTCTGTGCCGCCTTCAGGCAACCCCTGCTCCTTAGTGTTCTCAAACACATGTATTCCTATTTCTGCACTTGTGGCTTCTGTAACCCTGTCCCCAGCAGTAGGACACCTGGGCTGGCTGGGAAGGCCCTGCCACCTTGGAAGGTGGTGCCTGACCTGCCTTGGCTTCACAGAATCTCTATTCCAAGGCAGAGTTAACACCATTGCCAGGATGTAGATATCCTAGGCCACTCCCATCTCCCTCCTACAAATCCTTCTTTAGCAGCTGGCGGTTTCCAAGCTCAGGGGAGGGCCATGTCAGGAATTAGGGAAGAGGAAGGGCAACAGGAACCAAGGGCACCTCAGAGGGGGCTGCAGCAGCCTCCCTGCCTCATTCCCTTCCTCTTTCCTCCCCGTTGGGTTCCTCCTGCCACACTCCCCTCCAGCTGTGTTAACAGGCTGCTTTTACAAGCCTATTTTATGGGCTGGAGACCCCAGCGGACTTTCCCTCCGTCCTCAAAAAACGTTTCCACTAGGAAGCCTATTAAGCCCCTGCCTTCATGCTCTGCCAAGAAAGGCCACAGTTTTCACACCATCCAAAACGTACTCCCAGGAGTCTTCCAGCTAATTTCTGTGCTTTTCCCAGGAGCCACCGTGCTCTTCTTATTCAGTGTGGCTTGCCCCCACCCCACCCCCATATAAGCACTCTCTCATTTGGAGAGATCAGATGTCCTGCCAGACAGGTGCTCTCTGCTGTGTGACTGTATCTCAGTCACCAAAGACCTCATCCATGGAGCCTGTCACTTACTCCGCATTAGAACCCTATGGGGTGGGGACTTACTTATTTAGTTAGTTTTGAGATAGGTTCTCACTGTGTAGCCCAGGCTAGCCTCAAAAATCACCATGTAGAGCAGACTGGCCTTGAATTCACAATCCTCCTGGGTACCACCATCCCTGGCTATTGCTTTTCTATTTCACAGAGAAAGAGAGGTTAAGTCACAGATCTAATAAGTCACGGAAGTAAGTTTTGAAGGCAGACCTGCCTCATCCCTAGGAAAAGAAAACAAGGTGCCTCTGTAGGAACTGACTGGAAGTGGAAGTGTTGCCCAGGCTTCCCACCTTTTTGTTTTGTTCTCTCCTGTCTCCACTGTTGCCCGCCTGCCCGGTTCACTTTTCTCCATCCTTTGCCTCATCACCGCAATCCACACTTGCCAGGATATGACCCTTGATGCCTTTAGATGGCGTCAACATGGGACCCCACCCCTCTCTCCCTTCACCTCCGCGTTCCAAGCACTCCCTCCTTCCCTGGTTCTCAGCTTCCTCAACACCCTGAGCAAAGACAGCTCCTCCTGTGCTCTTGATGGCACAGAGTTCTCTCCCTGGGGTGGAAGGTGCTGAGAGCTGGCTCTGCCCCTTCCCTGATCTCTTCTCAGGAGGCGAGGACTCCCCCCCCCCCACAGCCTACTCAGTTTCCAGAGTTCATACCCCCTTCTTCAGAGTGAGGCCAAAGCGAGCTTGGAAACTGCCCCTTTGTACTGAAAGGGCAGAGGACTGCACATGCAAGTCCCCCTTGCTTCCTAGCTTCTATCTTTCTTGCTGTACCTGAACTGTCTTGCCTGGAGAACTGGCTCTGGTGTAGGCAGTGTGGTAAGATGCCATTGGTCAGAAATTTTGCTGTCACCCCTAGTCATTCCAGTTTTGACCCTGCCACCCACCCCCACCCCATGGGAAGAGGGCCAGAAAGACAGAGGCAGAGGCTCTTAGGTACACAGCTCCCCTCTGACCAGTGTGGGAAGCTGGATGGGGACCCATGCTCACATTGTTGTTTAATCGCAGGGAACTAAGGTGCAGGTCTGAGAACTTTCTAACTTTCTAAGGAAACAGCTAAACATCTGGGACCTCTGGAGGCCTCAGGGCCAGCTCTTCTGGAGAGTGGGGACCCTGGCTTCCTTCCGAGGGTGAGGGACTGCAGAAAAGGGAGCAGAGGTCAATGAGAAAGCAAAGCGGGGATAGGGTAATAGCTGTAGCTGGGGGTGGGGAAGGAGGGACCTCCAGCGCTGTATTCAAGTGTACCAAACACCTTCCAAGTGACTGAGTTCGGAGGCTGATGCTTCCCCATCTGTGCCTTTGTCCTCAGGTGTGACCTTCTCTGACGTGGTGAGCGCCACTGAGCCCTGCAAGCCGTGCACCGAATGCCTGGGCCTGCAGAGCATGTCGGCTCCCTGTGTCGAGGCAGACGATGCCGTGTGCCGATGTGCCTATGGCTACTACCAGGACGAGGAGACTGGCCGCTGCGAGGCGTGCAGCGTGTGCGAGGTGGGCTCAGGACTCGTGTTCTCCTGCCAGGACAAACAGAACACAGTGTGTGAGGAATGCCCAGAGGGCACATACTCAGACGAAGCCAACCATGTGGATCCGTGTCTGCCCTGCACGGTGTGCGAGGACACTGAGCGCCTGCTGCGGGAGTGCACGCCCTGGGCCGACGCTGAGTGCGAGGGTGAGCCATAGTTCCAGGCAGGGTGGTGTGGGGGGCGCGGGGCTGGATTTGTGAGGAAGGGCGCCCTCTAGGGTTCGTAAGGTCCCCGGCGGGCCTTCACCGGGCAAGCACCCTCGTTTCAGCTTTAGTTTCCTCTTGATAAATGCATAGAGGTGGTGATTCCACATTCGACCTCACCGCAAAACCCTTTCCACTAATTCCTTCTTTGGGCTGACATTGGAGAGTCCAGCTTACTGCTCACCGGAAGAAGTCTTCCTAACTCCTCCCCCAGAGATTATATGGGCAGCTAACGGCTCCTAGAAGAAGCCACAGATGCCAGAGTCTGAAGCAGGCCTCTTTCCGGCCTGAGGCAGGTTTTCTGAACTGGAGTGGGGCTGGGAACCTACAGGAGTGAGGACCCTTCAGCAATGAGGCCAGATGCAGGTGGCGATGACGGCTATAGCAACCCCAAATCAAATCAGCTCAGAGTGCCATTTGGCAGGTTACTCTTGGCTCTGTACCTGCTACTGATGGCCATAAGGTCGTTGGAGTAGATGGCACATTCCTCTCATGGTGTCTGGGGATGAGGCAGAAGCATTGTGGCAGTTTAATGACATGGAGTTGGCTGCTGTAAATGGCCAGGCAATGACGGAAGTAGTTCTGTGGAACAAAAGAGGAGTGGTAAATACGGGCTGGGAGGAGAGGTAGGATAAGGTGGGGAGGTAGGCTTGAAGGACTCCTGTCCACTGGGACTGTAGGAGCTGGGTGGGCCTGCCTTAAACACATAGCTCACCTGATGGAGATATGGGGATCCTAGGAGAGGAGGAGGCACCTGGGAGTCGGGGCACAGCCACCATGGTCACTGGTTAGTAGTGTTCTTCTCAGAGATGACCGGGGTACAAGTGGGTGGTGCTTTTCCATTCTGTCCATCATCCGGTGACCATGCCCATGGACCTGGTTTTCTTTGAACTCTAACCTCAGGTTGTGCTCACACTGAGCAGGCAAGCATGCCATCTTCTGGGAGTCACTAGTTTTTCTGGAGGGATGACCCCTGGCACTGGTCCAGTGAGGGGAGGACCACAACCCAGGCCCTAGTTCCTGAAGGGAGAAGACAGCCCCAGCTTTGGAGATTGCTGACTCTGATGGAGGCAGCCCAGTTTCTGCCTTCCATCAGCCTGTAATTAAGTAGAAGATACAGGTCCCTTGTCCTGGAGAGGAAGGTGGAGGAGCTCCTGACAACCAGCCAGAGCCCCGCCCCCCATACCCAGACTTAAGCTTGCTCAAGTATCAGAGTGGAGAAGGCTGGTAAGCCTCATTGAGGCCCTAAATATGTTTGCAGTGTTCTTGACTGAATAGGCAGAGAGGGATGGGGCATAGGCCCTGGGTGGCTCTGGTGGAGATTCCCATGGGCCAAGACAGGCAAATGGCCTCAGAAGCTAGGCTGAGCCGTGAGAGAGCTCCAACAGCCAGGCAGCAGGTGGTGGGCAGCAGAGTTCTGTAGGCAGGTCTGAATCAACCAGTGGGGTACAGGGTTGGATGTGATTAGAGAAAGGGGGGGCCTGGTTGGAAAAGGAGCAGGCCCGCTGTTTAGGGAAGTATTTCCTCCCATATGCCACCCTACTTACCCAGCCATGTTGGCAGAAGGCACACCGAGGAACGTTTATCCCTCCCCCCCTACTTACCCAGCCATGTTGGCAGAAGGCACACCGAGGAACGTTTATCTCTGGATTCTTCTTTCTGCGCCAGGCTCTGAAGGGTTAAATGTTAGCCCTGAGGCCAAGCATCCCTTTCAGGAAGTGGAATTTGATTCTTGGGTTGGCACCCCCACTCTTGTCCAATGTAGCATACTTTCCTGCATATACATTTCAGGTGTCAACACGGTGACTCACCCAGCCTTGGGGCAGATGCCTGGCCCCTTACCACACTGAAGTTTAGGAGGGGTCACCTGCTCCCTCTTCCTCCTGATAGCTCCCCTTCCGGAAATGGCTGTCAGGACCTGCCAAGGGCTTAGCATGTTGGAATGCCAGGGGACAGGGCCACATCTGGATCTCGTCTCCACCCCCATCAGAGAGGCTGGAGGGAGTGAGGGAAGGTGTCCTGGACACTTGACACTGCTTTCAGTCCTTCTCTGAGGCTCCTTCATTTCTTTATTCCCTCACCTACCCACAGCAGCCTCAGGGTTGGGGCTGTCAATCTGAACTAGTCACATCTGCAGCCTTGGGGCTCAGGCTGTACCCTCAACCTGCCCTGTTACACTAGCAAATCACAAGAAGGACCCAGCACTCAGACAGGACTGTCTCTTCCACTTCCCAGGCCTCTCCTTCCAGCCCTGGCCAGTCCTGGCAGGGGGGAAGGGTGGGACTGGGCTGCAGATGGCATCCTTCTCCCTACTGCCAGCCAGATGGATTCCAGACTCACATCTGGAGGCCCTACCCCTCAGAAGGTGCTGAAAGTGGGGCCTTTGAAGCATCTGTCTTGAGCTGGGGAGGCCCAGAGGCCCAGTGGGCAGCTTCAACTCCAGCTTGGGTGGGCACAATGTAGTCTGGGCGGGCCAGAGCTGGATAGCAAGGTGTCCTCGCCTTAACCCCATTAGCATGCCCTGTCTGCTTTCCCTCCCTGCCCCAAGCGTAGGAAGTGAGAATGGATGGGACGGGCTGCTCTGCCCAGACAAGTATCCCCCAGGCCATCTTCCAGAGCCCACAACCCCTAGCACTGCCTCTGGCTGGGTGGCAGAATGGAAAATCCCACCCACTAGTGCCAGGAGGAGCTGGAGCCTCTGCCAGGAAGGCTGGCAGTGCCCAAACGGCATGAGCAGGCCTAGATGGGCGGCCAAGCACAGAATTACTCCTTCTGAGGCAGTAGGCAGTGCAACTTCGTAGCTCCTCCCTCTACCAGCTGTCTGCTTCCTGCCAACAAGAGTGTCAGCTGTCTGGCCCAGTCTTCTCCAGGTGCCAGGGCCACACTTTTTGGGGGTCAGGCAACAACAACAACAACTACAACAAACATGTTGGCCACTGTACAAGGTCTGGCTGGGATGAAGCAAGCTAGTTTTACTCTCCACCTCTAGTGCCAGCCTAGTACCTGGAGCATCTGAGACACGAAAGAGGGCTGAGTGCCACCTGCAGGGCAGCGTCTCTGACCAGGTACCTAAGTGCCACATTCTTCCAGAGAGCCATGGTCAGCAGGCCAGAGAAATTACAGCTCTCCAAGCAGTTGAGGCATTGCTCTGGCTTGAAGCATCTCTACAGCTCAGGCTTCTTGGTGTGTTTGCCACATGCCTGGCTGCTGGGCAGATACTAGAATTCTGACTTCACAGCCCAAGCCAAAAAGTTGCCTGGAGACCTTTTTTTTTTTTTTTTTTTTTTTTTTTTTTTTTCCAGAGAGCCCATTCTCTGAATGGGGAAATCAAGGTTCCATGCTGACTTAAGTCTCCTGTCATGTAGCCCTTGCTCTCCTCCACTAACCTGACTTGTGTGCACAGTCCCAGCCCCCAATCCACGCATGGCTCTGTGTGCCTGGAACCTGGGGTTGGAGGCTCACGATGAAGCACTGGACTGTCAGAGCTAAGGGGAAGGCCTGGATAGGTCCTAACTCCTGTGGTCCTGTTCCCCAGAGATCCCTGGCCGATGGATCACAAGGTCTACACCCCCAGAGGGCTCTGACAGCACGGCCCCCAGCACCCAGGAGCCCGAGGCACCTCCAGATCAAGACCTCATAGCCAGCACAGTGGCAGACATGGTGACCACTGTGATGGGCAGCTCCCAGCCTGTAGTGACCCGAGGCACCACTGACAACCTCATTCCTGTCTATTGCTCCATCTTGGCCGCTGTGGTTGTGGGCCTTGTGGCCTATATTGCTTTCAAGAGGTAAGAGCCGACACAGTGAGGATAGTGGAGACATTTTCTCCCACTTTGGCCTGAAAACACACATACTCTTTTAATTCAGCCCTAAACACATCCTCCCTCACTATCTCATACCTGACTCTTGGGTGTGGCAGGTTGCAGGGAGTGACAGAAGAGGGTTCCCATTCCTGTCCTGGCTCCAGTCTCTCCCCACTCCCAAGTGGCTCCTCATTCTTTAACTCCTGCCACCTCTGGATCCTTGCATCCTTACCCCCAACCCCACTCACCCCACAGTTTCCTGGGTATGCATGTGTGTCTTCCCTTCCCAAGTCACCCTTGCTTTTATGTCACCCTCAAACTCCCACATCACCCTTGGGCTCCTGTGGTACCCACATCAAGGAATTCAAGACATAGAAAAACTTCCAGAAGGCATTTTTAACTTTAAATGCTTGTTCCATTCTTTTTTTTATTTGTATTTTGTTTTTAAATCATCAAAGTAATACATGGTTTTTAAAAGCAAATGCAAACAAGACCAAATTTGTTTTGTGGTGTGGGGGATGGGACCCAGATCTTTGAGCATGCCAAGCAAGCTTACTACTACTGAGCAATAGTCCCAGTCCCAAGACCAATATCTTCTAAAGCAAGGAGCAAAAGCCTTGTTTTATCTCCTCAAATCCTACCCATCTTGTGGTGAATCTCTTTGGGATAACACTTTCCCAGCTGTTTATAGTGTATTTTTTATATAAACACTCACACATGAATTTTTTATAATTATATGTAGACACAGAGAGCTTTTCTAATAACTCACCGTTCACCTTCTGCAATGCACTTTTTCCTCTTAATCCCCCTCAGGAGACTTTTTCTCAGAACACAGACTATCTGATTATTTACAGCCTCTCCTTCAACCACGTGCCTGGACTGTAGTGTAGTTAGCCAGTCCTCTCATGATGGACATTTGGTTTATTTTCGATTTTTTTGTTATTGCTTATAATTGCCTAGGAAATCCGTGTGTGTGTGTGTGTGTGTGTGTGTGTGTGTGTGTGTGATCGCTGCTCACATATGGGATTATTTTAGAAGGGTCGATTGGGAAAAGTGGAATTTCTAGGAAATCATTTATTTATGTATTGTTTGTTCTGTGAACATTTACCGAATGCTACCAAGTTCTTCCACCCCTATAGAGCACGTGTGCGTGTTTGTGTATGAGTGTGTGTGCATGTTTGTGTATGAGTGTGTGTGTGTGTGTAGAAATGAGCACCTTATCACTTCTCAGTCTTTTGAATAAGTGCATTTAAAGCAGTGGTTCTCAACCTTTGGGTGTCAATCCCTTGGGGTTGACTGACCCTTTCATAGAGGTCACCTAAGACCATCTGCATAACAGAAATTTACCATTATGATTCATAATTGCAAAATTACAGATACGAAGTAGCAACAGAAATAATTTTACAGTTGGGGGTCACCACTACATGAGTAACTTAGCCTTAGGGAGGCTAAGAATTACAGATATAAAGAAATAAGTTCCTTAGACACTTTGGAGGGCACCTGCCATGGCCCTGGCCTGGACCATGGGCACAATTATGTCGACTGCACTGACTGATACAACCCCTCACTCTAAGACCTGTTCTATCCCTGGGTTCCAGGTGGAACAGCTGTAAGCAAAACAAACAAGGAGCCAACAGCCGACCAGTGAACCAGACACCCCCACCCGAGGGAGAAAAACTCCACAGTGACAGTGGCATCTCCGTGGACAGCCAGAGCCTGCACGACCAGCAGACTCATACACAGACTGCCTCAGGACAGGGTGAGTGGGAAGGCAAAAGACTGGGGATTTAGCCATGATTAGACTATTGAAGGGACTAGCAGGTAGGAGAGGCTGGGTGGGAAGGGGAATGTTTTCCCCTGGGATGACTTGGGGAAATGGAGGCTTTTACAAGTTGGAGCATCCAGACTCATCAGGCTAATTGTCCCCCCTGGGGGTTAATTACTGCCCAAAGTAGCTGCAATTAGCCTCCTGGCTGGACTTCTAGGAAACAAGTGGTTAAGTGTGTACCCTAATTAGCGGCCCATAGCCAGGCTCTAGGACACTTGCTGCAGTTGTCTGGAGCTGAAGAGCCCTGTCCCCACTTCTGCCTTGATGATTGCAGGGGGGAGGGGACGCTGTGGAAAAAGATGATGCCTGAGCTGAGCTTGAAGAAGAGACAGTGAGTCAGCAAGGCTCAGGTCCCTCCCTCCCAGGCCCTATCTAGGACCTCATCTTGGCCACTCCTTTGCCTCGAACTAGACTTGGAGGAGTGTGCCTTGGCCAAACCCTCTACGTGCACTGGAAGAAAGAAGGTCCAGGGCTAGGGACTGATGTGCTCTTGTCCTCTGCAGCTCTCAAGGGTGATGGCAACCTCTACAGTAGCCTGCCCCTGACCAAGCGCGAGGAGGTAGAGAAGCTGCTCAAAGGTTCCGCAGGGGACACCTGGCGACATCTGGCAGGCGAGCTGGGCTACCAGCCTGAGCATATAGACTCCTTCACCCATGAGACCTGCCCAGTCCGAGCCCTGATGACCAGCTGGGGTGCACAGGACAGCGCAACGCTTGATGCCCTTTTAGCTGCCCTGCGCCGTATCCAGAGAGCTGACATTGTGGAGAGCCTGTGCAGCGAGTCCACTGCCACGTCCCCAGTGTGAGCTCACAGACCAGAAGCCCCTATCCTGCCCCATATTCCGACAACTGATGCTCTAGCCAGCCCCCACAGAGATGTCCCCCCTCCTCCGGGGTGGCCCGACAGTCAGTCAGAGCCAAGCTCCAAGGCCCTGATCCCCAAGCCATAGTCCCGTGGCTGTCCCTGAGGGAACCCTTGCTTCTGATCACACTTTCTCTCCAGTGAGAGATAGGACCACCCCAAGCCTATCCTGCCCCGTTACCATCTCAGGCCTTTCCACCCTTTCCCACACCTTAGACCACCCTTAGGGGGTCTGACACCAGAGATGGTGACAGGGGCACCCTAGGGACTCAGGCAGCACTGAAGGACCAGAGCCATGGACTCCACACTGTGAACTGGAGGACAGGGAGCACAGTGGCAGGATGGACCTTCCCTAGCCCCTCCTCCACTCTGGCCAAAGATGAAGAGGATTACAGGCCCATCTGAGCTGAAAGCAGGTTTAAAAGCCAGTCCACACTCCCCTCTTACACACAGGATAGAGAGGCAGGGACTGGCCCAGGCCACCCAGCAACAGAGAGATTGAATGTAGGCTGACATCCTCCTCTCTGAATGAGGGCATCAGGTGTGCTCGATGGCAGGGATGGAGTGACTTTCCGGGACATGTCTGAAAGCCAAGTCTGCCCCACCCTCTACCACTTTCAGGCCCCTACCCAACCCTTCTGCAGACAAACTTTGCCCAAGACCCGGTCCACTGGCCAGGAGGTTGGCTAGGGGTTTAGGGAGTGAAAAGTTGCCTTCCTCTATCTCTGTCAGGGTTACCCACATGGCATTTGCAGAGTGGTGAATCTGTTAATGTCCTCATTCTTGGCATAGGCCTAGAACCAACATTGGCCCCTAGAATCAGCCCTAGGGGTCAGGGACCAAGGACTCCCAACCCAAAATCCCAACAACACACATACACACACACATACACACACGCACGCACGCATGCACGCACGCACGCGCACCCTATAAGATTTCTTGCTTTTTCCATGGCTCTTTTTGGGCTGAGACTAGATCCTGCTTGGGGGTCACTGCCAGAAAAGCATCCGAGGGAACTGAGTTTCATGGGGGCTGTCTTCCTCGCCCCCGGGTTTGGCAGGCCAAAGGACTGCTGTGTCTGAGCTGGCGTCTGTCTTCCAAAGGCCTGTGCGTGGAGGAATGCTCTCACTCCTCCCCTTCTCGAAGCCTGAGTTTGGCTGCACCCAGAAGGCTACAGTGAAGAAAAACAGGCTGGTGGGAGCACACAGCAAGAAAAAACAAAAACAAAAACAAACAAACAAAAACAGATGCTGGCCCACGACCTGTGGCAGGTTTCTCCCAAGTTTCAAGGCTTTGCAAAGGACTGATTTCCTGAGCACCACCAGGAAGGGGAATGAGGCATCGGTGTCATTTTCACCCCCTCCTTGGCCTGTTCTGTTTTGCTTGCTGTTGGAATGAGTGGGCTCCCCCTCTATTTAGCATGAAGGAGCCCCAGGCAGGGTATTCACAGACTGAACACCACCCCTGGGTGGCCAGAGTCCTCTAAACTCTGAAAAGAGACTAGGAGCATTGTACATGGGTGGCGTTTGTATGGACCTTAATCTGCAATGAGCAGAGGGCCACCTGCTGGCCCACCCCAGGCACCCGGGGAGTGGGACATCCTTTTGTGTATTTATTTTCCTCCTCAGAAGTTGGGGAGCAGTGGGGAGCTGCAAGTGCAGTTTGGCATGTGTTTGGTTCTGGGGTCTCTCCAGCCTTACTTTGGGTCAAAATGGAACCTTTGTCCCTCCAGCTGGTGGCTTCCAGTTCCAGATCCCCTTCATGCTCCCTGTCACCTTCCCCTTGCATCCTGTGTAAGCATTTCTTGGGCCCTCCTGAAACCTACTCATAAAACATAAGTGATGGACATTAAATAGCAAAAAAAAAGGAAGAAAGAAAAAGAAAAAAAAGAAAGAAAGAAAGAAAAATGGTGCCAAGAGATTTTCTGGAAACACCCATGTTTTGTTAGTTGGGATTAAATGTGTAAGTCAGAGTGCCCCCGAAAGACCCCCAGAGCTTATAATTTCCAATGTAAGTTCCTGTCCACTCTTCTGTAAGTTTGACAAGAATCCAGCAATTTCATATGCGAAGTCATGAGGCGGTGGGGGAAAAGATCAGGGCCCCTTGGCTCCCAGATCTCAGAGAGGGAAAGAAAAAAAACAAAAAAACAAAAAACTGCCCGCCATGCAGGAAGCTGGCTAGCTGTGAACTTGGCCAGATGTCAGAAGTGAAACTGACCACAGGGGAGCCAGAGGCTTGCTAGGAGGGCTGGGTCATGACCCCACAGCTCCCAGCCACCCACATGGCCTGTAAGACACACAAGCATACTCATACACAAGATCACACAGAACCTCTGTCCAGATGGCCCAGCAGGAGACTGGCTGGCCTGGCCAGGAGTCAGGCCAGCCCCTCCCTGCAGACACTGTGGACAGATCCTAACCAGAGATCTTGCCTACCTGGCCTGGGAGCCTCTAGGACTAATGGCTCCAGGCTGTGCCTCTTCTGAGGCTGGTGAGGCAGGTGGTCAGAACTGCCCATCCCTTACAGGTCCATCATCCAGGTACTCTAGTAGGAGTGGCTTGTGGTCACCCTGGAAGGCAGGAGAGGATTTGCTTTTCTAGGAAGAACAGCAAGCAAACCTTCCAAATTTCCAGGCCCAGGGAGCAGGGCCAGCAGGGCCCAGCCAAGAGTCAAACATCAGGGAGACAGGAGCATCCTAGTCTCTCACACCCACTGAAGGGACAGACAGGGAGGGTGACATGGCGGTGGAGACAAGAGACACCGAGGAGATGGGAGAAATGACCTTGGCACTAGCAAAGCCTTGGAGTAGTCGGGGAGACAGTCCCTGTCTGATGGAGAAGGGCTCAGGCTGGGGGTGCCCATCTTCCTACTATGGGCCAACTATCCACAGTAGGAAAGGATTCCTACTATGGATGAGGGAAGCATATCTGCTCCCTTAAAGGGTTTTCCATTCTGATAAAAGAAAAACCATCTTCACCACAAAGGTGCCTCTGGTGGAACATGCAGTTTCTGTCTTGTGGGAATGAGAAGGGGCACAAGTTCCCTCCTCAGTGACTGCTTTCTTCAGAGAGCTGCAGCAGCCAGCCCTGCCTGGTACAAAAAGTGTAAGCAGCGACCTCATCCAGACAACCCCGGAGAGGTCAGGGAAGGGACATGGAAGCTGGTCCTTAGGGGTGTATGAAGTAGCAGGCCTGGGAGGAGAGAAAACAGAGCCCAGCCTGGAGAAACACCAGAGCCTGGGGCCCAGAAGGGGAAGGGAAGAAAGCGAGGAGGGGAAGGAGGGAGGACCAGACAGGGGCCAGGGCTCCTGTGGAGTCTGTTGAAGGGGTCTGGACTATATTCTTAAAACTCTGGAAGCTGTGGAGGATTTTAAACCCTCTCCATCCCTTCCCAACACTGGGGCAAAAAGCTTGGTGTAGCCTCTGCCCTCTCCACCCCTCCTGTCTCCACCTCAAGAGTTAAAGCTCTACAATCAGCTTCTTCATGTTTACTGAGTTCCTGGGGGGCTGTGTGAGCACTGGGGTCCTGCGGGACTGTGTGAGCACTGAGATCCTGTGGTACTGTGTGAGCACTGGGGTCCTGTGGGACTGTGTGAGCACTGGGGTCCTGTGTGAGCACCTCCCCCCAAATCCCCCAGACTCACTGCTTTTATCCAGCAATTGACCTTACTCTCTGTGTGCCTCCCAAATAGCCTCAGAATTCTGAAAACTTTATAATTTCCTTTAGGCACAGGGCCTCTGTGTGTGCAGACCTATCTAGAATATTCTTTACCAAGTTACCTCAGCCCAGAGAATCTTTAGGGAAGGCCAACTGGTTCCCTGAATCCAAATAGTCTCTCATCTCTTTGTCTCTATCTGTCTCTC